TGGGTGGGGAGCGCCCCTTTAAAGGATCAATTTCCTTCTTTGTATGCTCTTTCTGATTTGAAAAATGAGCCGATCTCGTCTTTCATCACCTCGTCCTCTTCCACGTCTGGGATTGGGTGGAACTTGGGTTTAAGAAGGGATTTGAGGGACTTAGACCTCGATAGTATTTCGAGCCTTATTGCACTTCTTGATAACGTTGTCTTAGACCCCATTAGAGAGGATTCTAGAATTTGGACACCTACCCCCAATGGCATCTTCTCTTGTGCCTCGTTCTTCAAAGTCCTAAGTCAGTCCACCAGTCCTACCTTCCCCCCTTTCCCTGTTGGTGAGGTTTGGTGCAGAGCAATACCTCCTAGGGTTGGTAGTTTTTGTTGGGAAGCCTATCTTGAAAGAATTAACACTGGTGATCTACTCAAAAAGAAGAGACCCAATACTTGTTTGTCACCTCAGTGGTGTGTTCTATGTAAAGCGGATGGGGAGACTGGATTTCACCTACTGGTGTCTTGCCACTTTGCGATGTCAATTTGGGATTGGGCTTCCTCTTTATTTAGACGCAGTTGGAATCCCCCATCAGACTTGCAGGGCCTTTTCTCCCCTACCTTTTTCAGGTGGCGGATAAAAAGGGGAAGGATAATGTGGAGAGGACTAAGGGCTGCAGTATGTTGGACATTGTGGGAGGAAAGAAACTCCAGGATATTGTTATGGATGCATTCGTAGGAAGGACATACCGCCGCTGCCGGCAGCAACAGTGAGGAGGGCCCACACAACAACTTATCTTGCCACGTCAGCTTATCCTGCCAGCTCTCCATTAGCTTACTTTATCCAGTTCTGTTCTTACTTATCTATTAGAGATAGGAGTTAAGTTCTGTTCTTAGTAGGAGTCTGTTTACCTATTAGAAGTAGGAGTTTGATTTAAAGTTGGATTGTCCTAGCTTAGCCGAATGGAATAAGGAGTCACCTCTTGTAATCTCCTATTTAAGGAGCTGTGAATTGGAATAAAGGCATTCAGTTTTCCAGTTAAGAGAAGAGTGAGGAGAGTTCAGGTGGTCTCTTGGACAAATCACCCATTCGGTTGCCACAATAGGGTCTTCACGCAAGGGAAGGCGCAAGGGGAAGCAAGAGGTTCTCCCCGTGGACCGACCTGTGACGAGATCCTACGCCCGGGCCCATAACAGATATTCTCAGAAACCCAAAGAGGAGCAACAGATTTGAGGGCTGTCATACATATTAGGGCGGTATGGTGTTTGAAATATTTGGAACTATTCACAGATTACACTGTGGATGACATGTTGAGGAAGTGGGGTGAAATTGCAAATTGCACATAGACCAAGTCAGTAATGAAAGTGG